AGATGGAGAAATATACCGTGTTCATGGATTGGAAGAATCAATATTGTCAAAATGGCTATACTACCCAAAGCAATCTATAGATTCAATGCAATCCCTATCAAGCTACCAACGGTATTTTTCACAGAACTAGAACAAATAATTTCACAATTTGTATGGAAATACATAATTTTTTAAATATTCTTTTCCATTATGGCTTATCTTAGGATATATAGTTTCCTGTGCTGTACAGTAGGATCTTGGTGTTCATCCATTCTGTATACAATACTTTGCATCTGCTAATCCCAAACTCCCAATCTCTCTCTTCTCCACCCCCTCCCCCTTGGCAAACACAAGTCTGTTCTCTTATTAACTGATGCAAAGTTTTACTGCAATCAGAATTCAGTCTTTCTCATTTTGTCTGTCTCCCCACTTGTCATCTCCATCACTGTTCCTAGGAGACCAAATCTCTCTCTGAAAGAGGATGAGAGGGCATTACCTTGGCTGAAGCCCAAGTCTCCTAAGGAAGGAGAGGCAGGATACACACTCCCGGGATACAGTGTCTCAGCCCCTGACCACCCGCTGAGATTTCTGGACAACACAGCTCACATCACTGAATACCAGGGTGGAGAGGGGAGCAGACCCTGGAAGGCATATGACTAGGAAACTCCCATCACACAGACCCAGCATCATTTCATCAGCCTTACGGTCTCTTCTTGCATTTGGTCCAGAATTTCCATCTGAGATCTCCATGCATGCTAATCCTTCTCTTATCTCTACAGGCCATCACCTCTTATATTTCACCCATAAGTACTTTCTGGATTTCCAGGAAAGTTGAGATCAACTAGGCAAAGGTTGTATTCAGAGAACTTCATTGAGCAAAGCCATATTTCTTCCTCCAAACAATCTGTGGGGCATCTCAGCTGCCAACAGGTCCCTTACCTCCTGATGTAGAAGAGCAGCCCCATCCCAAGGAAGAGCAGACCTAGAACACAGGCCCCGATTCCACTCAGCATCTTTTCTTGTGAAGATTTGTCCTGTGCCCCTGAGAAAAGAAGCCAGTTTCTGAGTGATTGTTATCCCAAATCCAACTTCTCTAATTGAGACTGGGGGAAGAAGCCTGCTCTGAAAAAACTGAAATAATTGGCCATTCCTAGAAAAGAGATGAAAATTCAAGCTGAATTGCTACAAGGTTCAGGCAGTGAATCATTTAAATACCCTAGCCCTGATAGAAGGCCACACATCTTCGTCATCTGATGGATGAGCAGCCTGGGGCTGGATGACGTGGGGAAGTCTGTCTCGGCTGACAGAGCTAATAAAAGGCAGAGCTGGGACTGAACTTCCCTCAGGTCAGGAAGGTCCCTGGAGGGGGTGTGCCCCTTCTCAGATCACAGTGAACAACTCAGGGAGAGAGTGTCTGAAGCACTAGCCCAGCTTGACACAGGGGACTGGTGCCCAGGACCGAAGAGGGACCAGGACCTGTAAGGTCACGGGAGGCTTAAGCAGAGACATCGTCTTCCCTGCTTGTCGGGAGAACTGGCTCTCCAGGGGGCCCAGGCATTTACAGAAACCATCATGGGATATCTGCAAACTATCAGAGGAGCTCCATCACAGGACGTCACAGGGCAACCCCAACAACCTCAGCTGAAGGAGAAGAGAACATGGGGCTCATGAACACTTGTGTGGGGAGAGGCGAGACCTGACACGCGGGGGTAAGCAGGCCCCCCACTTGGTGGCTGAGAAACTTATGAGATCAGAGAGCTCCTCACTCCATTCCACTGTGATGGGGTTCATCAGGCTGGGGTGCTCCACATGGCAGGCGTAGACCTCTCCACCCTGAGGAACTACTTCAAGCATCACCATGATCTGGAAGGTCCAGTCTCCGTTAGGGATCAGGCCTGTGGAGACCACCCCGGCCTCCTCTTCCTGGCCGTTCCGGAACCACCTGACCTCAACGTGGCCTGGGTAGAAGCCATTCACAGAGCAGACTAGGAGGTTGTGCTGCCGCAGGGGCCGGGTCTTCGCAGGATACACAGTCACCGCTGGCTCCACTGGGAGAGGAAACATAGTGGGGGTTAGTGTGGGAGACAGACTAAGTCTCGTGACCAGGCTGCAGCCTTGGACAGGCCAGGCTGCCCACGTGGCTTAAGAGGACGCAGTGCCACGAATCTCGCTTGAATTTAACCCCGAAACCTCCAACACCTATTAGAGTTGAGAGATGCTGAGGAAAACTGTGGGGTTTCTTTTCATAACTTGAAAGAGTTACTTATTGTTGAACTGCAGTATTTACACTTATTGCAGGACACAGGGTATATTCATTAAAAGTGTGATTTCTGTAACTAGGCTCTCGGGGTTCAAATTCAGGCTCTGCTTCTAACTGATTAATTCTGGAAGCATTTTAAAATTACTTTGAAAGCAACGAGAGAAGGAAGAAATGAAGAACCCCAGGGTTAGTAGAAGGAAAGAAATCTTAAAAATTAGGGCAGAAATAAACGCAAAAGAAACTAAAGAGACCATAGCAAAAATCAACAAAGCTAAAAGCTGGTTTTTTGAAAAAATAAACAAAATTGACAAACCATTAGCAAGACTCATTAAGAAACAAAGGGAGAAGAACCAAATTAACAAAATTAGAAATGAAAATGGAGAGATCACAACAGACAACACTGAAATACAAAGGATCATAAGAGACTACTACCAGCAGCTCTATGCCAATAAAATGGACAACTTGGAAGAAATGGACAAGTTCTTAGAGAAGTATAACTTTCCAAAACTG